ATTCCTGAGTTTCATCTTGGACTTGAGGTGCTAAGGCTTGACTTTGTAGTTCATGCAAGGCCTGTTTTCCCTTTTGTGTTCTTTATCTCCCTTCATGTCTATACTGTTTCCACTTCCCTTCCCTTCCTCGATACACATCCTTACTAAGGGGGTTAATATGTTATCTTTTTCGCTTGTTCATTAGAGAATGCCTGTGTTTCATGTGCATGCATGTTTTTAAATTTTTATTTCTTGTGCATGTATTGTTGTTGTTATTTTTGAGAGTGTCTCATTATGCAGCCCTGGCTGTCCTGGAACTCACTATGAAGACCAGGCTGGCCTCAAACTCACAGAGGTCCACCTATCTTGGCTGGGATTAAAGGTGTGCACAACTACGCCCCGCTCTGTGAATATATTTTTATTCCTAGTTATTGGCAATTTTTATCTAGAGCTATTTCAGAGATCCACTCCTCCCAGGCCTGGTGGTGCACACCGGTAAGCCCAGCCTTTGGAAGGTTGAGGCAGGAGTCTGTTGAGTTTGAAGCCAGCCCATGACCACACCTTTAACTGGCAATGCCACTCTCCAGCCAGCCACGGGCAGGGTTTTCCTCCTGACGTCTACGGCTCACTTGTTGGCCTAACGTGCCCATCTCGTAGAGAAAGATTAGCTCTCTGCTCTTGAAAGAGCGGTAAGCGGGTCCAGCCCAGAAGGTAATGGATGCTTGGCACGGCCTTGTAGGGCTGCCACTGGCCTGAGGAACTGGAGTCTTTCTCACGTTGAGGTAGTTCCCGCCAAGTTCCACCGATTCCTCTCTTCCCACACTTTGGGGATACATTGTTCTTTTCTCTACTGAAGGCCATCTTTCCTACCTCACCCCTCACCAACCTGCCCTCCAGCTCTTTATCTTCAGCCCTTGACCTTGTCCAACCCCCTCCCTCTTCCAGGCGCCGGTGACTTTCTTCGACTCCACGCCCTCGGGCCGGGTCTTGAACCGCTTCTCCTCAGATGTAGCCTGTGTGGACGACAGCCTGCCCTTCCTCCTCAACATCCTGCTGGCCAATTCCGTAGGCCTGCTGGGCCTCCTGGTTGTGCTGGGTTCCGGTCTGCCCTGGTTGCTGCTGCTGCTGCCGCCTCTGGGCTTCATCTACTACAGAGTGCAGCGGCACTACAGAGCGTCCTTCCGGGAGCTGCGGCGCCTGGGCAGCCTCACCCTGTCTCCGCTCTACACCCACCTGGCTGACACCTTGGCAGGCCTCCCGGTGCTCCGGGCTGCAGGGGCCACTTACAGGTGCATCTCCCAGCCAGAGTCGGGGTGGGGGGGGGGATGGGTACGGTAATGGGGGAGCATACAGGACAGGGTTAGAAGTAGAGGAGCCTGTCCTCCTTGGGTAGACAGCGGGGAGAGGGCACTTGGGAAGCGTGAAAATCAGGGCGTGAGGTGGAGCAGGTGGTAGGCCGGCTTCCAGGAAGGGTGCCGGGGAAGGGCGAGGCCAGCGCAGCAGTGGTGTGGCTTCTCTTCCTTCCCCAGGTTTGAGGAGGAGAACCAGCGACTCTTGGAGCTAAACCAGAGGTGCCAGTTTGCTTCCTGTGCCACGACGCAGTGGCTGGACATTCGACTGCAGCTCATGGGGGCAGCCGTGGTCAGCGCCATCGCCGCCATCGCCCTGGTACAGCACCAGCAGGGCCTTGCCAACCCAGGTGCCACCCAGGGACCCGTCACCCTTACTTTAGGAGCAAGTCATTCCAGGTCCTTGACCCAGCCCCCCGGTGTGTCTCCCTCCCTCCTCCTCCGCCACTGTCACCTCCTGCCCAGTGTTCCCTGTGAGGATGCTTCATCAGTACCATCATCACCCTCCATTTAATGCTAAGGAGTCCACAGGCAGTGGTGGATCTGGGACCAGACCAAGGCTTCTGTGATCATCCTTTCCTCGCTCCCACCCCTAGCCCTTCTGCTCTGTCCCTGGTCCTCCTTGGTCTCTGCCCGCCCCCCCTCTGAGCGTCCGTCTCCAGGGGACTCCAGTCCTTCCAGCCAGCCTTCTCTGCCCCGGCCTAGCTCCTGTCATCTGCCTGCTCCTCTCCCCTTTGACCGCCTGCAGTCCAGGGCTGGATCCTCTTGTTCTGCACACCCTCCCCCACACACATCCCCTAGCAGATGCTGTCCCTCTCCCCAGGGCTGGTGGGCCTTGTGCTGTCCTATGCCCTGTCCTTGACGGGCCTGCTCTCGGGCCTGGTGAGCAGCTTCACACAGACAGAAGGCATGATGGTGAGTGTCGAGCGACTGGAGGAGTATTCCTGCGACATTCCTCAGGAGCCCCGAGGCCAGCCACCGCAGGTGAGTCTGCCCTGCCGCCTAGGCCAGCCTTCCCTGTCCCTGGCCTTCAGCTCCTGGGCGTCTTTCCACATCCCTGAGCCTCTTCATCTGACTGCCACCTTTCTCCACGGTCCCCTCCGTGCATGTCCATCCTCTCCTCTCTCCCTGTTTCCTGCACCTCTGTGATCACACCCGCCATTCTCCATTCATCTCCTCTTTCCATCCTCCGACTCTGTCCTCAACATCATTCTCCCTTCGCCTCTGACCCACAGACACCCCAGCAGGGCATCAGGTGGCTGACCCAGGGAAGCGTGGAGTTCCAGGACGTGGTGTTGGTATATCGGCCAGGGCTGCCAAATGCCCTGGACAGGGTGACCTTCCGAGTAGAGCCCGGAGAGAAGCTGGGCATTGTAGGCCGCACAGGCTCCGGCAAGTCTTCCCTGTTCTTGGTGCTCTTCCGGCTCCTGGAGCCCAGCGCGGGGCGGGTGCTGCTAGACGGCGTGGACACCAGCCAGCTGGAGCTGGCTGAGCTCAGGTCTGGGGGACAGGTGACTTGTGAGGAGGGAGGAGGGCAGTGGGACTACTCTGGGGAGTGTAAGTAGACTCAGGGCAGCCAGTCAGCAGACAAAGAAGATGAGGTGGATAAGTGAGGACAGGTCAGCTGCGACCCCAGCTTGGGTGCGTCCCCATCTCCATCTTTCTTGTACTTCCCAGAGCACACCTTCTGCTCCAGACACTAGCCATTGCCTTCTAAATCAGAGCCTCTCAGGAGCTGTATTCCAAGATGCCATGAGCCCTCAGGCCTCGGGTTTGGTAGGCAGTATGGTGTAGCCTGGGGCCTGGGTCACGTGTACTTGGCCACAGTGACCTCATCTGAAGCTATAGATGCCTATTCCCAGTTTAACTTAGCATCGTTTTCCCCCAGTCCCACAACATGGAAAGGGTAAGGAAGTCTCATCCTAAGCCCAGAGCTCCCTGCCCTGCCTCTTCTGCCCTCTCTCGAGTTGTGATGGTTTTATCTTATGGCTTGACCTTCTCGCCCCTTGACCTCCTCCCACTTAGAAATGCCTGCACCCCATTCCCACCTCATTTCCTGCCTCACCACTGCCGTCTCTGGGGTCAGTACCACAGGTCAGCCCATTGGTTCTGGCTTTGAACACCTCAATAAAGTGTAATTCCTTAAGGCCAGGTCCAGGCCTTTTATCTCTTTGGTACTTCTCACAGTACCAGTGCTGTCCTAGGTGTGTGGCTGACAACTGATGATTTGGTGGAGAAAGGGTGGGAAACAGAGGGAGTGATGTTTGGATCTCACCCCCAGATTTCCTTAGAAATGCCAGGCCCCATAGGCAAATCTGTGCCACAGAAGATGGACACGTCTCCAGCCTGGCCCCCCATGTCCTTTTTCTCCAGATCCCAGCTAGCTGTCATCCCCCAGGAGCCTTTTTTGTTCAGTGGGACTGTTCGGGAGAACCTGGACCCCCAGGGCCTCCATGAGGATGGGGCCCTGTGGCAAGCCCTGGAGCAGTGCCACCTGAGTGAGGTGATCGGCGCTGTGGGTAAGTGCCAGGCCCTGGCCTGAAGAGCAGGCGAGAAGCAAAGGGCAGCCCTCGGCAGTGGAGATGCTCTGCTTCCAGGTGGTCTGGATGGAGAGCTGGGAGAGAGGGGCCGGAACCTGTCGCTGGGACAGAGGCAGCTGCTGTGTCTGGCCAGGGCTCTTCTTACAGATGCCAAGGTAAGACAAGAGGAAGGGACACCCAAGAGGGAGGAGGGGGGCTGGAGAGAGGTTTCAGGGAGAAGCTGAGGGTGGGGAACTGTAGGTAGGTTACAGTCTTCTCTTCCTTCCGCTCCCTGCTCCAAACGGTCCAGATCTTGTGCATCGATGAGGCCACCGCAAGTGTGGACCAGAAGACAGACCAGCTGCTCCAGCAGACCATCTGCAAACGCTTTGCCAGCAAGACAGTGCTGACGATTGCCCACAGGTGTGAGGACGCTGAGGGGCAGTGCAGGCCCAGAGGGAGATCAGACCCCAGAGACAGCATTGGGTGGGCAGGGGGTCAAGGCCTGGGGACCTCAGCTCCTCTTCCTTCAGGTACAGCCCCAGGCCCTCGGTAGCACATTATCTGGAAAAACACCACCATTCTTCCCATAGCACAGAACCAGGGACTCCAACCTGTGGGGGACAGATCTGTGCAGTCTGGAGGGACCTGGCGGGAAATCGGGTCAGCTTTCTCTTTAGGACATTGTACCCATCTCTGACAATCTTCTCCCACACAGGCTCAACACAATCCTAAACTCTGACCGGGTGCTGGTGCTCCAAGCCGGGAGGGTGGTAGAACTGGACTCGCCCTCTGTCCTGCGCAGTCAGCCCCAGTCACTGTTCCAGCAGCTCCTGCAGAGCAGCCAGCAGGGAGCCCCCCACTCCCTCCCTGGAGGACGCTGAGCCTGCCCAGGGGAGCTATGCTCCTTCCCACCAGGGCTGCTTGTTTACATTCTCCTCTGAGGTTCTACCTCTCCTCCACTGCCCCAGATGGAAAAGGGCACCCTGGCTTCCCCATGTAAAACACACACACACACACACACACACACACACACACACACACACACACACACACACACGGTGTGTTGAAGGCTGAGGCTTCCTCAGAACCGGCCCACCGTGGGCCTCTTTGCCCAGAATTCTGGGCCAGTTTTTCTTCCATAGAAGCCCACTTTCGTTTTCATAATTTTATTTGATAAAATTCCTATCTTACATTCTGTGTTTTAAAAAAATAGTATTTCTGGTGTGAGGCTGAAATCCCCTGGAAGGGTAGACCAAAGCCGAGGGCTGGTGAGGGCGGACCTCCAGTCTGAGGTGTGAAGGAGATGAGGAAGGGGGCCAGAGAGCCCCTGCCACCATCACAGTGCTGTGGTCTTGCCAGGCTCAGGGGGCAAGTCTGGCGGCAGAGGGAACCCCGCTGGCAGCATGCTAACCTGGCACTCCTGATCCTGCCGAGCCGGGGCATAGTGTGGGGCTGGGAAGCAACAGGGTCCAGTGGGGCATATGCCCCGGCGCCATGCCCTCAGGATCAGCAACACAGTGGCCAGGACCAGGGCGGCAGTGAGGGACCCAAACACCACCAGGGCCACCAGGCTGGACTCAGCTAGCCCAGCCTCTTGCCTCCGCACCACCTCCTTCACTGAGATCCTCAGGAGGCCTGCCCCCGCACTGTGGGGGGCTGCCCCTGTAGCAGGTACAACTACTACTACGGCTGAGGTGGGTGTCTGTGGGGTGCCCGCTGTGGCAGGGGCTGGGGCACGTAAGACAAGCTCACAAGTCTTGCCGCCATAGCCACTGGGGCAGAGGCAGTGGAAGTCGTGGATGCGGTCCCGACAGCGGGCCCCTCTCTGGCATGGGCGGCTGGCACAGTCATCTAGGTTGATGGTGCAGAATCGTCCAGCAAAGCCCTCAGGACAGAGGCAGGAAAAACGGTTTATGCCATCAATACAAGTGGCACCGTTAGCACAAGGTCGCATCAGGCAGTCGTCCACATCCACCTCGCAGCGGGCACCCGTGAATCCTGCCAAGCAGCGGCACGTGAAGTTGAGGGCAAAGCCCTGGTTATCCTGGCACTGCCCGCCATTCCGGCATGGGGAGCTAGGGTGGGAGAGAACACGGGTATCAACCCGCCAGTAGTCGGTGTCCTGACCACTGACGCCCCCTTTCATGCCGCGTCACCTTAGGCTGCCCCTTCTGGGTTTCAGATAACCTTATTTTTAAAATGAGAATAAAAATAGCCACATCGTGTGGCTAAGTGAGGGAACCCAAGCAGTTAGCAGCGGTCAGGCCCAAAGTCAAGGCTCAGAGAAGTGCTTGCTCTGTATTATCTCCACAGGCTCTTAGGCCTGTAGCGGAAATGGGGCAAGTCCAGCCCTGTGGCCGTTTCATAATCCCCACAGGAAGAGCCAGCTTTTAAGGCCGCATGTCTGCTTTTGTGAGGAAGGAAAGGGAATCTTAGGAGCCTCCCTCCCCACGCCACCCTCCTTACCAAAGCATCATTTGAGGTGAAAAAGGTTTAGAATCTGGGGGGCTAGAGAGTTGGCTCAATGGTTAAGAGCACTTCTTGTTGCAGTGGACCTGGGTTCGATTCCCAGCACCCACATGGAGGCTCACCACCTCCTTGGGCACCAAGCATGAATGTGGTGCACAGCCATATATGCAGGCAAAATACTCATACACATAAAATAGAAAAAAAATGGTTGAGAATCTGAACCCAGCACACTACCACAATGGGGCTTTTATCCTGAAGCGCCCTTGTGTGGGTCTGACCCTCAGTCTCCTACTCCACTGACAGTCCTGCCTTTTTCCTCCCTGCCAGGTTCTGGTCTAGCTCCCCCAGGATCCCAGCACTCACCCTGCCTGCTCACAGGGTCCGGCCTTGCGCTCACAGCCACGTCCACGGAAGCCTGGCAGGCACACACAGTGGTACTCACCACCCCCATCGTACACACACTGGCCTCCGTTCTGGCAGGGTGACTGTGAGGTACAGACGTGCTCATCTAGAGAGGAGATAAAAAGAGTGGGATAGCCCCTCGTATTCGGTTCCCAGGACCCATGTGGACCAGATCCAAAGCTCTGTGCATGTGGCTCATACTTCAGCTCCATCCCCAGCTATGGTCTGCTGGGGAAAGCTATACTGAAGTAGAGTTCTGGAAGTTCCTGGCCTGTCACACTGACTTTAGAGGAGCTACAGCTCTTCTGTGGACTGTAGTTACATCATGTTTAAAATGGGTACAATTTTTTAGCAGCTGTCTTTCCAACATCATGAGGTGATGTTGAGGATCCTTTCAGACATCAAGTAGAAATGAGATCAGTAAGGATATATTTGAGGATTTGAACAAGACACAGTAGGTGCTCAGTAAATAGTAAATAGTAATGGATTTCTAGAACATTCTAGAACACATGGGCTCTGTAGCCAATGGCTGCTCTACCCTACCTTTGTCACAGAACTTGCCTGCCCAGCCGCTGTGGCAGATGCACTGCCAGGGCTGGTGGCAGGTACCGTGCTGGCAACCAGGCATCCTCACACAGCGCTCACAGTGTAGCCCCTCCCAGCCTGGGTCACACCTGGTGGGACAAAACACAGGATCAGGACGTGTGCGCACACACGAGCATGTGTTAAAGCCAGGGCTTCTAGACAGACAGCAGCCCCAAAGGGAAAGCAAACTAGCCCCAGGCAGGTGGAGGGCTGTGCAGACAGACACATAAGCAATCAGACAGACAACAGCATTCAAGCTCAGCATCTATGTTTTATCTAGCTTTTCATTATCTGTCACATGGAAGCTGAGAAAACACCTCCCTTGAAGGGTATTGTTAAAGAAACAAAACAGTGTCTGTAAAGGCCTCTGGTGCCATCCCTGGAGTGTCTGGTTACACACATTTGAAAGAGTGAGTGACCTTCTGAGGTCACCGGGGTCATCGTCCCTCCAGACACCAGAGCAAGTGGCTGGTGTCCGTTTTGTCCTGCTTTTTATCAGAGTCTTAAGTCGATAAGGCTAACCTGGAGTCCTGATCTTCCTGGCCTCACTTCACAGTCACTAGACTTCTGTCGTTTTGTTTTTGGTTTTTCAAGACAGGGTTTCTCTGTGTAGCCTTGGCTGTCCTGGGACTCACCAGGTTGGCCTTGAACTCAGAGATTCACCTGCCTTTGCTGGGATTAAAGGCATATGCCACCACTGCCAGGTGACTTTTTTTTTTATAAGCCCTCCAAGGATGTCTAGTTTCAAATACTCCAGCACTTGAGCCCCGTGTAACAATCTGCCTTTGTCGGTTCACTTCTTGTGTCCAGACTCTTTTCTGCCACAGAATTTGCCCAGTCTGCCCTGGTGAAGCCATTGCAGGATCCACTAAGGAAAACACCCACCCTCCCGCAGCCTTTCTTCCCAAGCAACACTTCTCTTTATTTCCCTCTTTCCCGGGGCTCTCAGGCTCTGAACTCTCAAGCTGCAGATGTCTCTACGGGCATCATGAGGGACAGAAGCCCTTGAGAGAATAAAAACTCAACTATCCAAGCTCTCCAGTAAGAGGCAAAAGGAGATGAGGGAAGGGGAGGAGGGGGAACGGGGAACTGGTCATCCTGTTGTCTGAAAACAATAGCATCTTAAGCTCTTAGACATTGTTTTGGGTTTTGACCTGCTCATGGGTGGAAAAGTGGGGAGCAAAGGATTTGACGCACGTGTGCTGCGGAAGTACCTGCAGGAGCCGTCAGGAGCACAGCAGCCGTGGGCCAGGTCACAGTGGGAGCTGCAGTCATCCGCTGAAAGAGATTGGCGTAGTAGGCGTGAGTCTGGGTCAGGGTCTGGCTTCCTGGGACGCGGGACTTGGCAGAGGTTCCCGTAGTTAGATGGACTCAAGCTTTGGGCATGGCAATACCGACGAGAGTCCTATTCTAGGGATCACCCGGGACTCGCCGGCCGGATGGAATGGGGCGGCTGCAGTGCCGTCTCTAGCCGGCAGAGGTCAACGTGCCAGCGAGGACCGCTGAACAGGGCCGCGACCCGATCCCTGGGGCGCGCTCACCTCTGGCAGGCTGGCTGGTTGCCCCCAGGATGCACAGCAGGCACATGAGATGTAGGCAGCGGCAGCCGCTGGGCATGGTCAGTTCCGGCCCCAGGAGGGACGGACGGATGAACGGCCAGACGTGTGGACACCTGTGGGATGGCACTGGCTAGGAGGCGGCCGGACGCTGAAATAGCGGCACTGATACCGGTTCCAAGTGACAGGAGCCGGAGAAGGAGAGGGACTGAAGACCAGGGTGGGGAGCGAAAGGGTGGAGGCGAGGAAGGGATGAGCAGGCGAAGGGACTGGAGACAGGAACCCATTAGCCATGTCTGCGGGAAAGAGGCCAAGGATGGGTAGCGGCGAGCGTGGCCACGGGACGGGAATGGCCAGGGTTGGGATCACGGTCCAGGTGGAGGGGTCCGCAGGGATGGGGACAGCGCTGAGAGGCAAGCGCGACAGGACCCGAGGGCCCGGGGAAGGAAGAACGGCTCCCAGTTCCCGGCCGCAAGCGGTCTCCACCCGGGTCCTCCGACACCCACCCACCCAGGCCTGGCTCTCACCCCCACCCCCCACCCCCGCTCGCTCCGCCGCGCTTGGGCCTGGGGTCCCCTCCACGCGTCCGTGTCCTCCTGGTTTCTCACCTCCGGCTGGGAGGCGACGCGTCCCCAGGGCGCAGAGTCAAGCGGGATCCGACGGGCTGGGCCGGGGGGGCCGCCCCTAGCTGGCCGCGGGGCTCGGCGGCGCCGAGGTGGCTGCCATGCCAGCCGAGCGCTCGGGAATCTGGGGCTGCAGGCGACCCCGAGCGGCGGCGGCGGCTCCTCGCGCGCGCTCGGCCCCCTGCCAGGGGCGGCGTGTGCCGGCGGAGCCCGCCTCTCCCCTCCCGCCGCCGCGGCCCGCCCCGCACCGACTGCGCCCCGCGCCCACCCCCGCCGCGCACGGCCACACCTCGCGCTGCCACTCGGCCCTGGCGCCCCCAGCCCTCCTGGCCCCCCCACTTCGCGGCTCCCCAGCTCCCCAGCCCACCAGCCTCGCTTTCTCCGCCCCCCCCCCCCCCCGAAATCAGACTATCAAAGGGGCTGAAATGGGCACACACTGTAAAGTGCGGGCCGGAGGTGAGCGCCCCGCTGTTTTCCCATCTCCCACCCCACCCCCGCCGCTTGCCCCACTCTGCCCCCCACCCAGGCCCCGCCTCCGCGCGCCCCTGTCTGCTGCCTTCATGATTCTCATTAGCCCTTCACGGTTCTTAGGTTTTAGCCTGAACACACTGAAGACATGCTTGCTCCTCCTGTCACCAGCCCACGCCTCCCAGGCTTGCAGAGCCTTCGTCACAGGCTTCGTCGGTCAGCGCCTGCTCTCTGTTGGCTTCTTTCTTTCCTCGTTATCTCTTCCAGGATGGACCATACCTACATAAATATCACCCCAGTGTTGCTCCACTCTTTTCTCCGGTCTGCTGTCGGTCTTCTCAGCCCGTTCCCCTCCAAGCCCACCCCTGGGAAGCCTGCCCGGACGGACGAGACCGCCCCTGCCTGTCGGTGTTCCCCCGCAAGTCCCTGCCTCTGAACATCCCCACATCCGTTCACTACCCCAGATCTGGGACTGAGAGTTTCTTAGGAGGGTGGGGAGAACTGACCTTGTAGGCCTTTTTACCCTCAGAGGCAATGACTCAAAAACCCGAGCAAGACAAAGACCCCCAAATGTGTTTTTGTTGTTGTTTGGTTGGGTAACAGTCCAGAGAAGGGGAAGGCTGCCCGCACACAGTCTCTAGGTCTTCCAACGGAACTTCCTATCTTTAGTTGAAAACATTGGCAGGTGATGTCCCTAGCTGTACAGAGGGGCTGCCTACTGACGTGACTACAGGGACAGAGCAATGCCACCGTCTACACCTGACAGAACCCACGCCCACCCCAGCTCCATAGCTGACTTCCTCTCCATTCTGACTTTTACAGGAGGCGCTCTGGACTTGAGTCACGATATGGCTTCTATCATTTATTTTGTTCTAAGTTTTGTTGACTGTTTTAGCAAGCGTTGCAAACCCATAGTATCAACAATTAGTGTAGGAAATATAAGCCTGGCATGTCAATATTATGTGACTATTCAACTTTCTGAAGTCTATGGACCTCAGAAAATGAGGATTTCAAGATGAAGGCAGCTTTGGCTATGTGAGAAGATCTCTCTCTCTCTCTCTCTCTCTCTCTCTCTCTCTCTCTCTCTCTCTCTCTCTGACAGATACACAGAGTGGGAAGGTGGGGAGAGACACAGAGTGGACTTCAATATTGGCAATAGTTCTCTCTGTGATAAGATGGTAGAATCTCTGTTTGCCTTCTTGATTAATTGATTCCTCCCTTCCCTTTCTTTTAACAAGGTATCAAGTAGCCCAGGCTGGCCTGGAACTTACTATGTAGCTAAGGATAACCTTGAATTCCTGATTCTCCTTCGTGTCAGAATTACAAGCATGCATTTACCACACCTGGCTCTGATTCTTTTTTTCCTATTAAACTTTTCATCGTCTCTGTTTTCCTCACAGTGAATATGTAGAACGTCTTAAAGACTGGGGTGAAATGAGAGCCATCTGTGACCCTTGATCTCCAGAGCTGTTATCGGTATTGGACCCCCCCCCATCTTTGCTACCCAGGTATTTGTGCATAGGTATAATTGTGATGTACTTACAATGCTCTATTCTGCTTTTTAAAAACCCACATCGTATGTTATTAGTCCTCAGAAGCGTAATTTTTAGTGGTTGTGTGCACTATAACTTAACCTAGTCCTGAGTATTGGCAGCACGTATTTTTTAAACCTTGTGTGTGTGTGTGTGTGTGTGTGTGTGTGTGTGTGTGTGTGTGTGTGTATGTGATTATAAATTCATTCAACAAGGGCTGGAGAGGTGTCTCAGCAGTTAAGAGAAATGGCTGCTCTTCCGGAGGACCCTGGTTCCATTCCCAGCACCCACATGGCAGCTTAAAACTGTCTGTAACTCCTGTTCCAGGGATCTGGCATCCTCACCCAGACATACATGCAGGCAAAACACCAGTGCACATAACAAATAAAAAAGTTTTTTAAAAGTATACAAAAATAAATAAACTCATTCAATACGTATTGAGTGTCTGTGTGCAGCACCAGGCAACAGATGTCATCCTAGGCCGTGGAAACACAGATTCCTGAGAAACAGCAGCTCTACTTTTCTTCCAGTGCTGGAGATTGATCCCAGATCCCCATTCATGTACGATAGGCAGATACTCTGCTGTGGAGCAACATCATTTTCCCTGATGAGTGACTGAGCCCAAGGGCTGTGACGAAGGAACAACTCCTTTTCATTGATGAAATGTGTTAAAATTCACTGACAAACTGAAAAGCTAGTGGGAGCTTTTGCAGCCGATGGAGTCACCTGCCTCCCCCTCGTTCCGTGGGGATGTCAGCACCAGCTCATTGCCGTTCTCTTCCCTCCCACTTCTTTCTAATCTTGATGACTTTTTTCTTCTTTTCGGGGGCTGGAGATTGTTCTGGGCTCTCAATGACTCAGTGCCACAGAGACAATTCCCCCAGTCTGGGTGGCAGATTGCTTGTGAGGATGGCCACTACACAGCCTCCTGTCTCAGAGGACCCATTCCCGGGGCTTGGCTGCTCCTCAGCAGGAGGTGAGTCCCTAGAACTTGGGCCGACTTTATGACTTGCTTTGACTAACAGAATGTAGTAGAAATGACCCCATCGGGGTCCCCTGAGACCTTGGAGCAGCCCTTGGCCCTCCTACAATACATCCAACATTAATTAAAGAAGTCCATGCTAAGAACTGGATGTGGTGGCACATGCCTTTAATCCCAACACTTGGGAAGCAGAGGCCAGCAGATCTCTATGAGTTCCCGAAGCCAGCCTGGTTTACCTCTCCAGTTTCAGACCAGCCAGGGATACACAGTGAAAGCCTGCCTTTAAAAAAAAAATGCCATTCAGTGGTGACACGCATCTTTAATCTGAACGCTTGGGCAGCAGAGGCAGACAGATCTCTGTGAGTTTGAGGCCAGTCTTAGTCTACAGAGAGAGATCCAGGACAGTGAGGGCTACACAGAGAAACCCTGTCTTGAAAAGTCAAAAGAAAAAAGAAAGAAAGAAAATTAAGAGAAGAAGCAAAGAGATAGCCACTGGTTCTCTACAGATTCCAGCTACATTTTTTCCTGCTCCCCTTTACTAAAAATGCTTCAAAGGTATTTGTTTAGATTGGCTATGGTGGCTCACCCCTATAATCTAAGCACTGGCGGGGGGAGGCACTAAGGTAAGATCTCTGCATATTTCAGGTCAGCCTAGGCTGCATAATAAGCTCCAGGTGGAAAGATGCCGCTAGCCACGGTCCCCAGCGCCCCATCAGCGCCAATCCAGTCATGAAATCTCCGCTGTCATCTCACTGGCTGTCAAGTGACTTGACATAACTCTTCCCCAACATCTAGGGTCACTCTCAGCTTCTCTGCCTTCTGCCATGGCCACTTCCTCACTCCCCTAGGGATCCCCCCACCCCCCCAGCTCTCTGCACCCCTGGGACTCCACCCCAGGTCATCTTTCCTGCCTTCTCTTTCCGATGTCATTCAGCCCAATTGAACATCTAGCTTTATAAGATACAGACTCTCATTTCTATGTTCCCTGCTAAGCCTTCTCCCTGAAATCTAGACTCAGGGCCTGTCTGCCTAAACCCTCCACATGGATTAACAGACTTGGCGTTCCCAAACGCAAAGCTCCGATTTCCACTCCAAACAGCCTTCCTCTGTCAGGGCTACCCATCTCAATCGGGGTAGTCCACCCGTCGGATATTAGACCAAAGTCATCAAAATCATGTCATGTTTCACCTCTCTCTCTCTCTCCCTCTCTCTCTCTCTCCCCCTTTGGGCACATGTGGGACTCTGAGGACTGACCCCCCTTGGCTCTATCCATCCACCTTGTCTTTCTTTTTTCCAAGACAGGGTATGTAGACCAGGCTGGCCTTGAACTCACAGAGATCCACCTGCCTCTGCCTCCATGTGCTGGATTAAAGGCATGCGCCACCACTGCCCAGCTATCCACCTTGTTTTTTGAGACAGGGTCACTCAACTGGCCTAGAGTTCATGGAGCAGGCAAAGCTGCCTGCTGGTCATTGAGCCCAGGGATTATAAACACATGCCACCAACTTTGGCTTTTTTATATGAGTTCTGGAATTAAACTCAGGTCCTCATGTTGCCTAGCAAGAGCTTTACTGCTGAGCCATCTCTCCAGCCTTCTTCTTCTTTCTCTTTGTGTGTGTGTGTGTATGCGTGTGTGTGTGTGTGTGTGTGTGTGTGTGTGTGTGTGTGTATATGTGTGTGTGTATGATGTGTGCATGCACATGCATGTATGATGTATGTGTGAATGTGCATGTATGCGTGTATAGTATGTGTGTGCATGCATGTGTATGTATGGTGTGTGTGTGCCTACATATGTATGATATATGTTCGTGTATGTGTGTGTGTGTGCATGCACATATATGTACAACGTGTATGTGTGGTGTGTGCATGTGTATGTATGGTGTGTGTGTGCCTACATATGTATGTATGATATATGTTCGTGTAAGTGTGTGTGTGTGCATGTGTATGTATGTGTGTGCATGCATGTATATTTATGGTGTGCACATGTGTGGGGGCACATACCTGCATATGGAGGTCAGAGGACACCTTGTTTGAGGCAGGATATCTTTGGTGTTTACCAGTGTGCTGGGTATGCCAGCCTAGCTGGTCCACAAGCTTCAGAGAGAGTTCTGGAAACACTGGAATCACGAAGCTGCAGCACACCCAGCTTTTTGCAGGTTCTGGAGATTCAGACAAGTCTTCAGGATTGTTCAGCAAGCACTGTACCTGCTTCTCTCTCCCCAGCCT